AGACAGTTTTTGACATTCGACATTGTCGAATGTATTTGTGGCAGCATTTTATTTGATTTAAAGATGACATTGACTTGACTCTTTTTGTAATTTTTGAGGTGATAATAAAAGTCGATTTACACAATACAACACATAGGAAAATGCATGTACCAGTTTTATGTTTGGCCAAGTGTACATTGTATTAATGTTACATAATATGATACTGAATGACTCGCATAGCTTTCCAGCTCAGGTTCTCTAAGTACATTCATCTATTGTTCAATTATTCTGTTGAAATAAAGGGAAAAAAATTGTTCGTAGGAAAGTTGTCATTTAAAACGAGTTGATCTGATATGCATAAAACTGCTCACTTTAAACAGAGGGCGATTTAAAGTTTTTTGAGAAAACATGTGAAAAACAAACGCTCACAGATTCTTTCTTAATCAGAACATCAAACAAGAACCATGTGGCGACCCCATCCCCCACAATCCGACCTCAATACTTTATCGTGCAATCAGCCAACCCCGAGATCGAGTTAGTTTCTATGCCATGGGGTCGGAGCTCTAGCTTAACGACCGTGGGTCTGTTGACTGTGCATCAGTATATCCATGTTCATGAAAGCCACGCACAAACATATTCTATTCTAGGACACATAAGATCGTGATCGCCGTTTTCTTTAAGGATTGGCTGTAGAGCAACTCGTGTGCTCACCCTGGCTATAAAAGGTGCCCTAAACATAGCCAGCTAACAACTGCCCGACTGGATAATGCCAAAACAACCCTATGTTTTTTCGACATTATTTGGTAAATTGTTTTCAGAATCAGGGATTAAATCAAAAATTAAGAGACCTTTAAAACGATGTATCACACGACCGCGCCTTCTATTTTAAAAAAAATTCAAAACTGCGCCCAGCTGTCATTCTGACAGCTAAAACTGTCACTTTTTCTCAATAAATGGAGAATTTGCTCACATATCATCATTCCAAATTTCATTGTAATATACCGAGCGGTTCAAAAATTAGAGGGGGAGACTTTATGTTCTCACTGCTATAAGTAAACGCACAATCGACGACAATAAATATAGAATAGAAGATATACTCGGTATCGAGTGATCGCCTATGATGATGATTTTGTTACATTTTATTCATTGTGATGTAGTATAAGAGCCATACCTGGATAGTCTTGATTCTCATAGAATTCAAGAGATCCAAAATTCGTACTCTAGAATTATTTTTCGTATGAGATCGAGTCTCTCAAAAACTTCAAGATCTCAAATGGCTCAATATGTTTATTAGAAAGAAATTGATCTCTAGCTAATTATTCTACAAAATTAATAAACACTGTCTCCTCCTTATTAATATAAAAAAATTACTTTTATTAATGACGTTTACCAATTAAATTAACGGAGAAAAACATTAACGATACCCAAACAAAACATAAAAAAACTATTTTCAAAAAATCCTTTTACCATAATTTATCGCCTTAATGCCACACTTTTCACATTAAAGAAAACATTAAAACAAAACTTACTCCAATGGCACCGTAAAATAAAATGACATTTTTTTTTCAATTAATATTAATTGCCGAGAACAATGAGTACAATTTTAATAGATAATAAGATCGTTCTTCCTCTTTTTTTTCTTTCCTTTTTGATTATTTTATTGAATTAGTTGAGTTCAGTTATTTGAATGATTCATTATTATTATTATTTTTAAGCCATGTACGTCGAACCGAACTTGCATTGTTCGCAAAAATCTGATATCATCTATTTATACTACTATTACTATATTGTCGATATAGGTAATTTATGTATGATAAATCTTGAACGTTATTATTATTATTATTATTTTTTTTTTTTTCAGGTTGTGAACCTGGTATACTCGGTAGTCGACCCATAGGCAGGACTGAATAGCTTGTCATTCCTCCAAGAATGACCTGACGATGTGTGTGGCATGCAGGATGACAGAATTTGCATTAGTTGGTAGGTATTCCATGGAATGCCAATTTGTTGGATGCCAAGCCCACGGATGACATGATGACTAGTATGATTCTCACTTAGTCAAGGTTCCACATCTGTAGAATTTCCTTTTTTGGTGAGTGTACTCCTCGATTTTTTGTCTGTTTTGTTTCAAGGTTGTTGTTGTTTGGTATAGATATGTCTATTGCTGATTTTGTTTCTTTGTTTATGACTGTAATATCTGGTCTGTTATGCGGTATCGTTTTGTCTGTAATAATAGCTTTATATCCCAGTATATTTTTATCTGATCTTTTTCAACGACAGGTGAAGGTTTACAGGAATAGTATGGTTCTGCATTTAAAGGAGAGATTTAAAGTGCTTTGAGAATTTCTAAACAAGAAAGAAAGGAATGTCGCCGAAATTGTCTTCAGCATGGAAAGGACCCTACAGAATAATCAAGATGATCAATGATTTGGTTTATCGAGTTCAGCGCAACACCAGGAGTAAGATGAGAGTTGTATTTATATCTTGACAGATTCACGAAATATCATGAGCGTGAAGTTGATCGGGACGATCAACCTTAAGAGGAGGGCAGTGTAGCGGTGCGCTTTCGCCATGGTGTACAGAATCTAACTTGAAATCTAGAAAATACTGCCTTATTTGGGCAAAGCGATTATCGCGTTTATTCTGGATTTTACAAGAATGGATTACAGATATATAAAGGCCGGTATTAATTAGTAGTTTCAAGTTTAAGATTGACTGTGATATGATTTAGAAAGTGATTATTGTAATGTAAGAGTTGTAAAGAGTTAAGTTGTTTGAGTTAATTAGTGAAGTAATTAGTGTCAGAGTGTATAGTAACGTGGAATAAATTATTGTTGTGTTAATTGGACTTTGATTTTGGAATAAACGGACCCAAGATTTCTGTCACGCATCACAGAGCCATGATAATATGTTGAAGTTCTTGACTGAAATTCTTTGGTAAGTATGTTTTTTATTTCCTTGTGTTCGATTCGGTTTGTTTGTAGTATTCCTAGGTATTTGTATGGTTCGGTTGTCACTGATTGTATAACAGTTTCTTCATCTATTTGCATTGGTTAGGCTTCAGTTAGTTTTCCTTTCTCAACTGTAACAGTTTGACATTTTTTCAGGCCAAGTGTCATCCCTATGTCTTGACTCCATTTTTGTGTTAGTTCAAGGACTATCTGAAGTTGTTTTTTGGTTGCAGTGCTTTAGGTCGTACATGAAAAAATAGATGTCTTATTAGAGTTAATAAGAAGAGTTTCTGTGCGCCCGGTTTTTAGAGTGGCACCATATCTTGTTCTGTTTAGGGTTTTAGATAAGGGGTTGAGAGATAGAACCACAAAGCTGATAAGGAATCACCCTGGAATATTCCTCGTTTTATCTCTATGCTTTTAATTTCTATTGATGATTCTTTGGTCACAATCCTAAATTTTGTGTTCCATGTCTTCATCGTGTGTTTCAGTAGGTTTGATATGCTTTAGTCAATGTTGTATATTTCCAGGGTTTTAATGGGGCAGTCATGTGGAACGGAATCAAAGGCCTTTAGGAAGCCGATGTAAGCCATATTAGGGTTCCTGCCCTTCTCCCTCGTTTTTTCTAGGATCCAATCCCAAAAATTTTCTTCGGCATCCCTTCTGTTCCTCTGTTAGAATGTGATTATCTTCAAGGTAAGAATGTATCTTCTCTGAAATTAGGGCCGTTAGGATTTTATATATAGTCGGTAGGCATGTTATTGGTCGATATTGATAGGGGTCTTGCGTTTTGTTAGAGTTTGCAAGCAGGTGCGTGATTCCGTTTCCGTTGTGAGGAACAGTGGCATTTTTAGCGGGTTGGTTAAGATGATGTTGAATTGTTGTACAATGTATTTATGTGTACTAGGTAGTTTCTCAAGCCAAATGTTGTGCATTTTATCTCGGCTAGGAGCTCTCCGATTTGGCAGTTTATTGTTATTATTATTATTAATATTATTATTATTATTATTATTATTATTATTATTATTATTATTATTATTATTATTATTATTATTATTATTATTATTATTATTATTATTATTATTATTATTATTATTATTATTATTATTATTATTATTATTATTATTATTATTATTATTATTATTATTATTATTATTATTATTATTATTATTATTATTATTATTCTTATTATAATCTAATAGCAAACCGCATTTCATTCTCATTGTTGCATAAGTTATTTTTTTCCATAAATCAAGAGCTTTCCGCTGCAGATGCCAATTATTCGTATACCTTTACGTTATTTTATGATAATAAATAGGTGTTCCAGTCGAGGCTCTATAATAAATGATATCATAAAGACGCCGTTAAGTAACAGGGCAAGATTTATACTGACAGTCTAGCCTCACTTCTGATGGCCATTAAATATTTAGAGGCTTTTATATAGGCGAGAGTGGGGTAAATTTCCTTGAGTTGGAGCGTCTGTCAATTTTCTATGTGAGTCTAGGGAAAATGATGATGCAGGCGAAAAGTCAATTTTTAGTCCTAAATTATTGTTCCATAAGATTGACATTTTCAACCATGCAAGACACGTCTCTAGATAATGAATTTGTGGCGAGTTTGCAAATATAAAAAATTTAAAAACTAATCAAATTACAGATTGAATGGAATACTTTTTAGAAAGGAAGATTATTGATTGATTCTAAACACGACACTTTATCCAACATTAAAATTGCATTAATAAACTGTTATTTTCGATCTGAATCGCCCACAATCACGAACGTCTACGCTTACCCAAATACAGCCTTGACCTGTATAACCACCATGTATAACTACGTGTGCAAGCAGTAGGACTTTTAATAGCGATCGTGAGGTAGCAAGTTAATTTTTGGCGCAAAAAAGAGAAGACAATAGTCAAACATAGCCTCTGAGTGTAACGTGGGAAGGAACTGCGTGATTTTTGTTAATTTTCACTCGATTTGTGATGAAAAGTTTACCTTTGTAACTAATAGCAATTCGCAGTTTAAATCAGTTTAAAGATTAACGATGATTGTATAAATTAACAAGACTTACCATTCAAGTTCAGTTCAGTCGCTGCCTTACTATTATTACCACTATTCATCATTGTATTGAATTCTGTAATAGTTGTACCATAGGAGATTGCTGACCCGGCACTAGCACTTCTTCTGGCACCATTAATTTGCCCAATGGTAGTCATTTCCGCATCTGGCTGTAGATACTGTTCACTATATCGATCACTATATCGTTCCCGATAGCTCGTCCGATGTTGATGTATCGAATTTAAAATAATATTTGATGAAGTTCGCGATAGCGCTTTTCTTTGCCGGATGGCTTCTTTATAAATTCGACAGTACATCGTTACCATCAAAGTGCCCGGTATCCAGAAACTTACTGAGCTTGAAATTATCGCATAGTATTTATTAACAACGAATGTGCACATTTCAGGATGTTGTTTGGCTAATTTCAAATGTTCTTCAGTGGTGTACCAACCTAAGAATATTGGCATGAAACTAATTAAAGCTGGAAGTAACCAGACGTTGGCAAGCATAAAGGAAACAGTTCGATGTGTCATTGTGATTGGATATTCTAGAGGACGCACTATGGCATAATATCTATCTACACTAATACAACAAAGATGAAGTATACTCGCAGTGGAAAAATATACGTCAAAACTGTTCCATACATCACACATGAAAGTACCAAATAACCATTGGCCAGTGAGTTCAACACTAGCATTAAACGTCATCGCACACAATGCTACTAGCATATCCGCCATCGCCAAACTTACCACATAATAATTAGTGATTACTCTTAATTTTCTATGCCTGTGAACACTTATAATCACTAACGCATTTCCCAGTATAGCTCCAACTATTATACTAGAAAATATGAATCCTTTAACAATAAGCAACAAAAGTTCCGTCCAATGGGGATTGGGGTTTTCCAAAGTAGTAACATTATTACTTTGATTATGGATTGTAGTATTTTGGAGAAAACTTGGTATGGCTAACGAAGGTAGTGTCGCTATGGTAGCTGAATGTGAGGCCATAGCGTTCACTATCATGGTGTTGATTTGATGCTTAGGTGATAGTTCCACACATCATCAAGGGAACTGGATCGTGGAAACACCCATTTGTGGCATCTAAAACAAAAAGAAAATAAATTATTTTATAATGCGTCGACTGCTTTAATTTATTTTTATCAAATTATGTAATGTAAGCAGAATAAAAAGCAACCGCGAATAAAAATGGAATATTTAAGTAATCTCTTGGGTTGTAATTCAAGCGCTTGCTGTACCTGAAGTGATTTATTTAAATTCTCGTTTCTGGATACAATAATAATTCCGATTTTTAGATCCGACCAAATAATTTTTGAGAGAGTTGGAATATTCACGGCCATTATTTGATTGTAGTATTGATGGAGCCTCAAAACTACAGAAAATCTCCGACGAAGAATAAATCACTTTGAGACATTCAAGTAATGTAGATTCGGGCTGTGATTCAACGATTGCTGTACCAGACGTGATTTATTGTAATTCGCCCTTTACATAAATTAACAACCATCGATAAGGTTGAAATGCACGATCAAATAAAAGAACCAAAACCTGGCTTTTATATTAATTGGTAATTTTGTCCAACACATATATGTTATCAACTTGTTCTATTTATTTAATTCTACTTTATAATAATTAAATATTATGAAACAATTTCGGGACTTAATCACTTAATTAACCGTAATAAAAGGAAAATGATCGGAAATAATATTTAATTAAAATCGAGTGCTCTCGACCAGCGCTTCGAACCGGAGGTTCTTTTTCGCTACCCTTTATAAGTGACTTTTCGCCAATTTCTCGCATACCTCATTGTTTATTTTCCTTTTTCTTTCTACTTGTCATGAAAACCTCTTCATCCTCCTCTATCTTCCAAAATTCTTTGGTGTGTTATAATCGGACCTTGGCCTTGTTTGAGTTGGGTCTGTAACGTACTGGCTTTACTTCACCCTGTATGTAGATATTTAGCGGCGGCAGGTTCAGCAGAACCTCTAGGGCTGGAGTTGGGGTCGTTTTCAGGGCCCCCGTGATGCATACGCATGCTAGCCTTTGCACACTTTGAAGCTGTATGATTGCTACGGTCTGCGTCACCTTTGCTCCCCAGGCGACTACCGAACCGAAGGTTATCTTTGGCCTTATTACCATTGTGTAAATCCATAGTTTCATCTAAGAGTTAAGCTCCCAGCTTCTTCCGCAGAGCCTCCTGCAATTTTTGCCTTCTGGGCGATATTGTTGAGGTGTAGACCCCAGGTAATTTTTTGGTCAAAGATGACAGTATTGGACATCTTTCGAGAAGGCGATTCCCACTCTTTTGAGCATGGGGCAGCTAAGTCCTCTTAGTACTCTTTTCTTTGTGAAGGGGACAATTGCGGTTGTCTGCGGATTAATCGACAGTCCTTCTTCCCTACATCAGCTGTCGACGATGTTTAGTGCGTTTTGCGTTTTTTCTGAAGCATATTCGAGACGTCTGCATCTGCCTCTGACTACTATGACTATGTCGTCCGCGTAACCAATGTAATGGAATCTCTCCTTGGCCATTCTTACCAGAAGATCGTCGACTAGGACCGCCCAGTACAGTGGCAACAGAACTGTTGCTTTTGCTGTTTCCTCGCCCAGAGTGGATCTAATGACCCTGTCTCTTAGGCTAGCTTCCATCCAGTTGCATATAGTGTGCAGAATGTTTCCACGCTTGCGTTCATTACACAGTAAAAAAAATCACGCAAAATTTTACACGAAAAGTGGTCTATATAAGGCCACACCAATTTGTGTATATTTAACACCAAGGTTTTTGGTAAATTTGACGAGAATTTTCGTGAAGAATTTACACAAAACGGTGTTAACATAATACACCATATCATGTAACTTTTACACTAAGTTATATTAAATATACACACAACAGTGTATGTATTTCCAAATATGCGTGTTGTATTTACACAAAACAGTGTTAAATAGAATACACCGAATAGTGTTACTGTACAGGATGGAACATCGTGTTTTTTGTATGATTTTTTTGGAAAGTCGCATTTTTTACGACTAGTCTGTTGAAAATATTTGATATTTCGATAGTCATTTTCATTTTATTTTATTTTATTTTATTTTCTGATGTTTCATCCTTAACTTTTTCAGCTTAACCTATTTAATTTAATGGGAGGTATAGATAATCACCATTCCTCACAAACCTATTAAATTAAACTGGTAATACTAAAATTATTGAGGATAAACATTAAAATAAAATAAAAATAGCTATCGGATCAAATATTTTCAACCAGACGTGAAAATGTGCGACTTTTCCAAAAATCATACAAAATACATTAAAAAACTGTTCATTTATAGCGTAACTCTTTAGTTTTGGAGACTTTGGTTTTGGTTTCTAATGATTTTTATTGTAGACAACGACAAACGAACATCAACCATCCCATCAGCGCATCAGCACGCTTGGAACTGATCACTATCACACAAAAGAAGGTAGAGGACGGAGGGCTTGACCCGACACACTATTGGGTGTATAAACGTTCGTCTACCGTGTAAATTTAAACATTTTTGGTGTTCATTTAATGAGAATGGTGTAAAAAATTACACATTGTCATGAGAGTAACACGGAACCAGGATATAACTTTGATTCAACACTGTATTGTGTTTACCAAAATACTGTTGGTTAAGTGGACAGCACTTTACGAACAATGGTGTATAGTTTTTACACACAACGTGTTTACCACTTTGTCGTGTAATTATACACGGGATTTTTTTTTACTGTGTAGTGATATTGTTGGAACGTTATTAAACGCTCCCTTTCTGTCCAAAAACGCGTCTAAAGCCTATCATCGATTGACTTTGTCAGGAGTCTGTTTAGGTCATCAAATGCGGAGTCTGTAGACTTTTCTGGCTGGTAAGCATACTGGCGATCGCTCAGAGGATAGAGAGTGTAGGTCTCTAATATATCTGTCCAATTTTTTTTTTTCAGCGTTTAGTGTAAAAACGAGAAGAGACATAGAGGTCTATATGACTTGGGCGTTTGGTCCAGAATTCTGCCGATCTTTGGCAGGTAGACTACTGTCGTCTTTTGCCATACCTCTCGTGAGTAGCCCCAAGCAATGCATGCTCTGAATATTTTGCATGGGTGTGGCATAAGTATGCCCTGACCTTTCTGGGGCAGTGCTGGGTAGATTCAATCTGGGCTTGGCGATTTGAAAGGATGGAACTCACCTAAGGCCAATTTAATTTTCTCATATTATTCTACCACCTCCTTTGCCTATGACAGTCCACCTTCACCAATCTTCTGGACGTGTTTTGTCCTCCTGGGTGGATTAATTATAATGGATGATCCTGGAAAGTGGGTATCGATTAGCAGTACCAGGCTTTCCTCGTTGGTGCTTGTGTAGACCCCGTCCGATCTTTTCACTCGGGGTAATAATAAGGTCTAACGACAGAGTTTCCGTTATTTTCTATATTCCAAAATTCTCCAGTACTGATATGAAGATGCTGACAGAGAATTTCCAGACTCAGACTAAAGGAGCGATAAATCAATTTATATTTTACTTTTGCTGTTGTTCCAATAAAAAGATACCTACATATATTTGGTTTTCTGTTTCGACTAGCAAACTTGATGTTTGTTCAACGTTTCGACTTGTTATCTAGAGACATTTAATCCGGCCTCAAGGGTCGTATCAAAACATTGATAACAAAGTTCAAGTTTTGTAATTAAATATCGTGTAAGCCAGACATGACATTTAAAGCAATTAAAGAACGAAGTTGCCTCAAACTGGTTTCAATTACGTATAGGAGGGTGAGACCTTTCAAAAGTAACTTTTACAATTTGTAACTAAGTTATATGCTTATTATCTATAACTTTGCACTAAGTATATCAACGTTACGGGAACCTAAGTTATTATTAATTTTTTCTATCAAGAGCAAACTTGCGTTATGCATTTTATTTATTTGTATAGAATTTGCTGAGCTGAATAATAATAAACATGCAAATTATTTGAAAAATCTGTTACCCAACATCCTGATCCAATATTACTTTGTAAAAATTCGGTTTCGTTACTTGAAAAAAGCCAGGCAGGATTTAAATGAGGTTATTTAAATGGAAAACACGACTTCATTTCTGAAGCTGAGATGCGAGGGAAGAGCTCAAGCGGAATAACAATTTTTTTTTCAAATTTTATATAAAAAACATCTCAAGTACTCACTAATTGAAGAGAAATTCAAGTAGGTAGGGTAGGTCTATCAATATACTTTTCCCTGTGGCTATAATATAATTATGACTTTCTGGAAAGAATTTCCAAGTATTTAAAAACAAGTGAACTGGAGAATCATTTTGTTATTTATTTTCAACTGACTAAATTTTTATCAAGGCAGTGCACTTTTTTACTATGTAGGTAGTCCTATTCAGGCAATAGCTGGATGGTCATTACGTAAGGGTCTGTATGAGCATTCACCATTCAGAAAAATTGTTCGCCTATGAAACCACTTCTAAGTCATTGCTGCCTTGCTTCCATAACACACGACCACGAGAAAAGCTCCTGTTTCACGGTCACTGAGAAGGGCAGATGTGGATAAATATTCGATCCAATAGTCACATTGATCTTCACTGATTTGCTAAATCAGTGTGTTTTTGGAACAATTTTGCTTCATTTCTTACATATATCACAGGAAATTCGGGTTATTTTCCTTATCTTATCTTGCCGTCTTATTGAGGATGTTTAATAATTCCTGTAAGGAGAAAGTAAATCGTCCTAAAAAAAAAATCCCAAGATAAAAAATGTACTCCTTCATTTCGGGCCACAATAAACTTAAAAATTTATTGCGCTTGAAAACTCTTCCAAATTACGAGCCGAAATCAAATATTCAATTTGAGGACTTGGAAGAATTGTGCCGGAAAGACTTCTAGCTCGTTCTGTAACATAAGAAGAACGACGTCAAACTATATGTGACTATGTATTAAAGCTCTCACACTGATTGAAGTCTAGACGACTAGTTTCGTAAATTACCCTTACATATGAAAATGGTAACTT